AAAAAGGTTATACATTCACCATCTCGCATTTCCTATCTGGTATTTTCCCGTAAGTGCAATTGTTAGGTTCCTACATATGCTTTCCGCCATGCGAGTTTGTGGAGGAAGCACAGATTTAATTGCATTCTTCGTAACCACAGAGGTTCAAGATTCAATTGCTTGCACCTATCTGTATGAAAGTGCGGTTGAATAACCAAATATACGCTTCATGAAGGCGCGTTGAACGTCTTCGATGGCTCTCAAATTACTGAATCTAACATAGCAATATTCAAGCAATGGGCTGATACTGATTTCGAATGCAATTTTGTTTAGTTTCTTTCAAGGTGGCATATGAGCCCGATATTACTTGTATGTTTGCTAAAGTTTAACGAACTAGAGTATCTCAAGCCTAAGTCACGGACAAAATGGCTGATGGCAATCACTTTGTCATGAAGCCAGAACAATTTGCTGCTATCTGACATCCATACGCCACAATGCTACACTTCGATGTTGCAGACGTCGTCTATCAATGGCTTTCAAGTCGTTTTGAATATCGTTAAGCTCAGCGGTATGCTGAGAACTTGAGAACGTGTAAACAACCTTTAGATCATCTGCAACTAAATACGACTTGCCAAATTATATAACAGAAACAAGGTCATTTATATACAGTAGGAAGAGTAACGGACCCGAAACATTACCCTGTACCAACTTGTGGCATCTCTCCCTGCAGATCCTATAAATCGTATCACCGCAAGTTTATGTCAATCTAAGCAATACAAGACCAATAATGTTTTCGGGAACTCCGGAAGATATTGTATGTTGTGGCTATTAAACTAGCACTCAAGGTCTCGTCTTCCTCATCAGCCCATCAGAGTGACATATGGGCCTCTGTCAATCTGGGTGTCTGCTGGAGCGCATGGTCAATCGGATTGTCGTTGAGAATCGATGTACTGGAAGCACCAACCGAAGACATAATCGAGATGAAATCCTTCATCTGCCGGACTCATCTCTTTTGCCATTCAAATTACGCTAGCACAAAATACGCACGTCTCGGAAGTCACTATGATTTCATGTGTAACACATGGGTAAATCGTTGGAGTCCTTTTATTGACTTGGCTAGAAGCTGATCCCACATTTAATCAGACCCAGAATTTTACAGATCTTTCATGCGATAGGACAAATTAATATGTTTAGGTGCAGAGGTCAACAGGTATTCGGTAGGGGTATCGATACTGCGAAGGTATCCTTAAATTTCTTCAGGGTCCATTGTTCATCCTTCGAGCTCAGTGATTCCTCTGGAATTTTCATATGCTTGTGTTCCTTTCACTTTACTCGAAAGTGGCATCGTGAAGTCGACCGACAAAGAAATAGTTAATTACAACCATCATACCAGTATGTCAGCATCGAAACTTTAGTTTGGCTATCTGTTTTGGAAGTTCTTTTACTAGCATAGACATGCATCTGCACCAATTTCCTACTAAGGACACGCATTTCGATTAGAATAATAGCATACGTCACCATTTTACGTGCAAAAGTGAGTAATATTGGACACATGAGCAGTGGAGAACATTGCGAACACAGAAGAAATGAGGAATCCGTGGATAAGGCTTCCTGCACTTGCTAATTTTCTTCGATATACTGCAGGGTAAATGGGCATTAAAAATGACGACAAATGAAAGGGGGTTCTGTTTACCTTCTCTTTTGATGGAATAAAACCAGGTTAGTATGTAATAGTGAAGCGAAACTTGAAAATGAATATTGCTTGGCACTTGGGGGTGTTTCGGTGTTGTTCCTCCCAACGCTGACATCCCATGACCTGTTTCGTCTAGTTTGCATTCATCAGATGGACATAGCCTGAGCTGCGGTGGAACTCGGGGCCTGTTGGTTAACGGCTGACGCCTTGAGCACTATGCAACTAAGCTCCGTGAGCAACGTTTGGCACAGCGTTAAGGAAATCAAAATTAGATTTGAATTGCGACACATCATCTCTGTTGGACCTCGGTAGACCTCGGTCACTCCGATCACAAGGACCGTGTCCGAAAGGAAGGTGTTTCGATGTTGCTCCTGAAAAGCTTACACCCCATGACCTTTCACAACAGAGATTGCGTATCGCAATCCAACTACACGGCGGGCAATCCAAATCCAACCTTGATCTTTGCTTACTATTTCCTTTTTTGCTTATTTGTGGTCGTGAAAGTGTCCGGTTAAGTATGGTCAAGTGAGGACTGGACGTATTGTCTGAGCGCATTGCTGAATATTGAGAATAGAGGGCTAGTAGACATATAGCTGTGTTACTCTAACTTATTTAGATGGGCCACGTGCGCGGAATCACGTCTCTGGTTCCTGCGCGTTTTTGGAAAATTGCAGATACACCATAGGCCATTCGGGTGCGATGCGCTCCCTAAATCTGAGATCTGCAAAATGGGTGTCTAAGAATTGCTTGAATTCCGACGCCCATTTCTTTTCGACTATTTTCTCGGGCAAATTGTTCCAATATTTAACCATTGGACGCCTGAAGCATAGATGGTGAGCTATCCGCTTAGGTTTGGTACTACAAGCTTGTACTTGTACCCACGAGTGTTGCTTGGTGGGCGCACATGCAGCAGCGTCCTCACCATAAGAAAATCACCCCTAGGCAATATTCGGTGCATACTTATGTGGTGCACTCGAAATGGACGATACGACAGGGTGTACGGCCCCAGTCGTCTGCATCGGTCTTTGTATGCCATACCCCGTAAATAGGGGACGAGTCTGGTAGCTACATGCTAAACCCGTTCCAGTCTGTGCACCCCGCCACAGATGATCGGATAATAGCTGCGTGATCCGTTCTCCAGCATCGGTCTCATGAGGGAAGAGGAGAGACGCGTGGCAATCTCTTCAGACAATATGCATAAGCTGCTTTTGAACGCCCAAACCCTGCGCAGTCCGTTTCCATATAGCTTGTTCGTGTTGTCTACAGACTCCAAATCGCAATGTTAGAGTACTCCGAGATCCTTCGCGGTAGGTGTGGGATGTAGTACTTGACCGGCCAGAGTGTATTTACGCTTATTACAACTCTTCCCCAGGCTCATAAATAACGATTTGACTAGGCTGACCGGCATATCGACTTCTGCAGAACACATGGACTGGCGGTCGAGGTCATGCAGAATTACGTCGTTAGGAGAATCATTTGCTCTCCAGATCATCTGCAAACGGGACACAAGGTGACCCAAGAAGCTGAGGTACTTCGTTAGTGTGGATCAAGAACAAAATGGGCCCTAGCACTGTGACTTGGGTTACACCACTGGTGGAAGGATGTCAGTCCGTTAGATGGTCATCCACCTTTACCCTCCATTTTTACCCCACGAATTCGTTACTGTTCCATTGGTGCATCGAGGCAGCAACAATGCACATTCTCAGCTTGTTGAGGAGTACCTCGTAGTTCATTTTGTCGAATGCTTTACTGAAACCAATGTAGATAACATCCACTGATTTCCCCCGGTTCAACGCTTGCAGCCATTCATGCCGCGTCAACAGCAATTTGGTGATAAAGGATAGGCACTTCATGAAGCAGTGCTATGCAGACACTAGAAGGTTTATCGACTCCAGCAGCTGCGGTAGATTCTTTTTCATTATCTCGATTATTTTGGCCAGAACGGAAGTCAGACAAATCGTCCGGTAATTGTCCAATTTACTTGGGGCACGGTCTTTCGCAATCGGCTTCACTAACGCGCACTTCCAGTCTCTTGTTACTGCCTCTTCGAACAGCGATCTACTGAAGTGATCGGTCACGGAAGGCGAGATAATGGCCGACAACGACTTTGGAATCAGCGGGGGGAGCCCATCGGGACCGGCAGGCCTCGTACTATCAAGACTGGCAGGTGGATTGCAGATATCTTCCACATAGCAATCCAGGCTCTCGAGTTCTGTAGGGGCTGCACACGTGGAGCTTGGTATAGACGCAAGCCCATTTGCAAGTACAGAAGCGTAGTGCGTCGCCAACGCGGACGCACATTCAGCACTGAAAGTCAGAGGCTGTTCGTCAGAGCTCTGTAACACTGCTACGTCGCCTGCAAGTCTGAGACGCCGGTTCACATAAACGAAAATTCGCTTGGGGCTGTTTTCGCTGCGGCTGCAAGCTCTTCTTCCAACTGTCGACGCTTTTGTGCTGCTCGTAATCGTCAGCAGAGGCAGACTGGAGAAATTTATTCCAAAGTACGCGTCGCTGTCCAGCCGAATGGCCTTACTCTCTGTCGAACCACTGTGGCTTCACTAGTCCAGGTTTCCGTTACCTGAGAGGTGCAAATCGAGCGTACAGCGATTTCACACCCACTTTGATTGCAGACCAACACGCTTCAACAGATTAATCTTGCGGCTCAAGTGAGACTACCGAATTCAATCTTCCATTGGTTGTAGAATGGCTTCATCGGACGTTTTCTTGACACGACTTCTCATGTTTATCAATTTCTGACTTATGTGAACGGATTATGTCAGCAGTGTCCAACAAAATGTTGGCCACATCCATATCACTTAGGCATCGTTTTAGCACCAATAATTGCATGATTCACATTGTACCTCACATCTTCATGCTATTTCTATCACGTCCACCAACGACAACCTATTTATTGTCCCCATCCTTCTCTGGATTCCTTAGCGGATATGATGCAGTCACGAAATCAGACACTTCTGCATTCCTCTCAGCTACCTCTGTTATCCTTTCTGTCCGAGTACATTATTTTCTATCTTCATTGATTGGTTTGTTTCCATACTTGGCTCAACTTCCTTGTCTTTCTTACTATCATGTTTGTGGTAACAGACGCCAAGTCAGCCGGATCCCCAGTACACTTTGGTTTTTTACTCGTAGTCAGTCTACTACACTGAGCTTTCCCTCCGATCATTGTGTTATTGCAACTGTCCCCTAAAGTTTGGATACAGATGCATCGCTGTTGATTATGACAATAATGAGGATGTGATGGACATTACGGCACTCAACATCATCGTCTCCTTATCTCTTCCCATGTCTCTTTCTTGCACCACAGAAGCACAATCAGACCGCATTGCGGAATTCTTAGGGTTTGTTCCCGGTTCGGAGCAGTTCAAAGAAGCCTCATTGCAAATTCGGCGCCTTTACAAAATGTTCACCTCTTTGGACTGTCTTCAAGTGAGTTTCATCCATACATTCGCCCCATCAACCATCAGTCACTTTTGTCGTTTGTGATTCAGTAACCGTCCACCAGTTGCATTTCGGTGAGATCATGTTACTTTAACTAAGTGTTTGTACCATCTGTAGTGATAACAACGTCATGATTGCTATTAAAGCATTTTGTGGTCGACTCCTCAATGTCCAAGTATGCTTTGTTCCATCAGTGCTCCCTGTTTACTGATGCGAATTGTTCCGCGACTGCTGACGGGTGCACTATGAACTGAGGGATGCGCTCTCTTTGAAATTCACCCAGTACCTGGCAGCATAGCATTCCCTGTTCACGGAATCCTATATTGTGCTTCAGGGTCTATTGCGTCTTTCAGAATGCAAGATGGAAGTTCAGCATTACGCCTAGAGCAGCCTTAGGCAAACAACTAATTGTTTTTGAACGCACAGAATTGGCTTTATCCGGCTTATTGCGACAGCCTTAACAAACTGAAGGACGCGGAGATTAGTGGGATGCAGCACAACTTTGAACGTTGAGCCCAGGTCTATCCGGTAACTCGAAACCAGATGTTTGCCTATTGAGCAAGCCAGTGGCCTACGCGAGCGAGGAAGTTGCTGGGGTACGAAGTTTGGACAGTTTCACTCTGAAACTATCTCGACACATTATCCTTTATTCGGGAACTTGGAATCTTATCGGCTCCGCAGCCACATGAATGGGTATACAAAGTTTGAGTTGGCCCCGATAGTCTGAGCTCTCTTTTTGGAGGTACGGGCGATTTTGGGGTTCAGTTAATAACGGCGGCGGATGTCGATTTTCATTTCCGGAGCAGTCCGCACCGCCAAATTGTTGGCATAGTATTGGACCCTGCTCTCACTGACTTTTTCATGCCGATGATAGCAAGAAGCATTTCTACAGAACTATTATAGGTACCCTCGTAGAGTAGCGAATGTCAGCCGCCAGCCTGAGACAATACGAAATTCATGCATTTACCAGTTTTTTCATATTCTTTCCCTGCTTTTTAAATCGTTGAGGGGAACTAACTGCTTTATATTTAACATAAACTCAACTTTTTTCTGCCTGATGTTTTACTTTATAGACGATTGATAGAACGCGGATAGCGCTTATCTTACAGTAGATGCGAGTGTCCTCTGAGTGTCAATTACAACCCAATCCACTTTGCTTCCTATAGATTTCAGCGATGTTGACCGGCCCTAGCGTCACGGGTCACAAGCCTGTCTTGTTATTCCATGGCACGGGTTCGAGCCTGCCTAGGAGACCGGGCGACTCTCGCTGTATCCGTAGCCCACGTGCGACTAGTGGTGGTCACGCTGCAGCGAAGCGTCGGTGCTGCGTACCGGCTTACTGCTGATGCCATGCCCAAGCAGTACAATGACCTTATGTTCAAACAATTTCTTAGTGCTCTGGCCGTCGCAGAGAACAATCAGCGACGTTCTATCTGCTGCATCGAGCATGGTGGATATTGGTGAGAAGGCTACTGCTCAGGCCTTGCCACCTTATTCTCCCTCGCGCTTTTTCGCCCTTATCGTCTCTTTCCAACTTCACTTATCTTCCTTTTATTTTTGGCCCCCCACTTCTTGGCCCCCCACCGTCTTCCTTTCATAGTCGCTTGTATTCTGATTTCGACTCATGCAATCACCTAGCGTCACTCCGTTCCAGTCGACAATCAAGCAGACAGCGTCAGTTTATCCACATCTGTTTGGGACCTTCGATCCTCGCTACAACTTTCACGTCCTAATATGCGTACTCTGATTTGACTAGACTAGAACAGACAGCACTTGCCTAGGTACCAGCGACTATCGATCGATATCTGCTGCCAGTCGGAAACTCGCCCGCTAATCTGATTGCTCAAGTTAGAAACTTCTCCATTTATTATCTTCATCCTGGCAGTCAGCATGGTGTAGGCTGTCGTATTGATACCGGTGAGCGGTTGTTACACCTATTTGTCGATGCTCGTTTTCTCTCCTGAGCACTAACTTCCGATATTGTACTCACAGAAGAGGGACATGATGCCCACCAGCCATCGGCGCAAATTGATCACATCGTGATCAGGTACTCTGGAGAGTCTGCGTCCAAAATTGTCGATCGTGGGCTGTGACCACGTACTTGTATGTGCTGCTCTCCGGTTGCGTTTCGATGGACTCCTACTTCGATGATGTGGGCACGTAGACTCCAGACAATTGGCGAAGCTAGATGTTCTGGATGTGTATCAAAGTTTGCTGGCTTCCGGGATGCGTACGTTCTCACTGAACGCAGCTGATGATCACTGGTCACATGTACGCCAGATCTTATTAGCAGCAGATATGCTTTCATGTGCTAATTCCGATTGTAAACCTGGACATTCAATTACTACGCAGTCTCTTGGACTTCTGGATGCTCGCCCACAGACAACTGACTCGCAAAGACCTCAGGTCAACATTGCATGCTACCTTGACAAAAGACTGCGAAGCTTGATGGTCTCACCGTGCATCGTAAGTGGAAACAGCCGCTGCTTTCGTAACCATCGGAAGTTATCCCGTTTGAATGCTGAGTACTGTATTGTGGAGCAAGTAGAAATGAGTTCTGTACAACCCCTTCGAAATACGGTGAAAAATGTTTTTAAACTTGTCACCCGTGAATCTCGTTCTCATGTAACATATCTGATTCACGGAATTGCAGGACTCACGAATGTGATGTCGTGGTAAGTGTGCAATCGTTCTCTGAATCGAAAAACTGGCAGAAAACCAGGTGTTAGCGAGACTACAATCGACGCGAGTTGACAACCAATACACATCCTGTCAAAACGCTTAGAACAGTGGTTCTCAACCTGGGGGTAATTACCCCCAAGGGGGCAAATGTAAGTTCACGGATTGGGTCACCAATCAGTCGCCTAACAAAATTAAAATATGTAATTAACTACCTACTTGCTACTGGTTATCCATCAGTGACCACTCACTAACGAGTGGCCAGTTAATTTGACAATAGGAATGATGCCTGCAAATCAGTGCAGCTAGATGGCGCCTCTATCGACTCGTTCGTCGATCGTCGTTCTTTTGAGCCAGGCAGTCCTTCGTCGGGTCGAATTACCGAGTTGTATGAACCCTAAAGGGGGCATAGGTCAGCCGACCGCGTAAACGAGCAACCGAATGCCAAGCTGGATTTAGAGAACACGCGGTGTAATTGGATTGCGATACGCATCCTCTATTGAGACGTCGGTTCCATTTGTGGTAGACCTCGATCATTCTGATCGCATGGATCGTTTACAGGATAGAAGGGACGAAAAGCAGTTGCTAATGTTCATGACGTATAGCTAGATGGTGGTGGTGGGAACATGTCATCTAGCGTGGATTCGGAATCGAAGAGTGAAAACACGAGAGTCCACTGATATTGATCATGGATCACACACCAAATGGCCATAAAATGCCTTGAATCGGGATAAGTGAAAGCGTTATCAAATGCACACATTGAGTTTGGGGTATGCACTGTCTCACTTTATCGTAACGCTTATTTGGGAACGCAAAGAGAGCATGAGTGGCCAGACCCTAGCACGCGTGCTTTGCAACAGAGTGTACGCAGTTTAGCAATGAGGGTAAAGTTAGAGTGTTACCATTGTATAATACCTCATTTATCATCCGCAAATGATATTTTCCACTTGATGGTCCAACTTCGCAGAGGTCGGGTTGAGTCTTCATTATATGTGGTATAGTGGAAGGAGTAGGTCATTTTCATAGCATAGACAACGGATAAGATGTGCTAGCCTCGATTACGCTGACGATATCGTTCATGTCCATAAATAAACACCAGCACTCAAGAACACTGCCTTCCATGACACCATCGTTACAATGACATTCTGACAGTCTGCATTATCGTCATGGGGCTAACAAAAACCACATAATAAAACGCATTTGATAATTACGAAATTCACAATGAGGGAAATGAATGAACACGAAGTAGCTTTTGTATTTACCACATGCCGTTTTGCTTTTTTTATCCATCTGGGGACTACAGTTTTGATCATTTAAATCAAGGGATAAGTTCCCGCATATCTTCCATTTGACCCAATTCCGCACCACGTACTCAAAATCTTATAGCCGTCGGTTCTTCGTCCTTTGATCTGCAATCCGCAGCAAGCACAGATCTACGTTAGCTAAACTGTGATTCATTACTTTGGAGTTTTTGTTGTTACGTGGTAGACCACCTACCGCGATTTCTTTTAGTTCGGTCATGTACTATCAAATAAAAAAACTTGTAGATAGTCGCTCGCACAGTATGCGTGGGGCGTGCTTATGCCGTCTTAGTTGGCATGGCGTTACTATCCTGTCGAGTGAAATGCGCGTACTAACTAGATCACAACATGACCTTGCTGTCGTAAACGTGGTGTTCTTACCACACACAAGCTACTCTCCGCAAAAGCCCGTTGTCAATTACTGAAGACGATGCATGTAATTCACACCATTCGATTAGGACTCATTTTCACACAACAGCATTGTGCGAACACAAACATTGTAAACCCTGTCCTTTACCACGACGATGCCATAGATGCCTCAGATTTGCGAACGTTGACTGGTTTGCGCCAATACGAGGAGAAATCTTCCAAATGTGTCATCAGCAGTAACCCAGCTCCCCAAGTAGACAAGGCCGTTCTCTAACTCATCATCATCATTATTATGCGTTAACTGAAGGTGAGAAACACATTTCAACTATTGTGCCGCAATACGAAAGGATAAGATATATGAAAACGCGAGAAACTAATTAGCAATTATGCTTCTAGACGGATCGGAGTTGTAGGGGAAAATAAGCGGAATAGGGAGGTGCAAAGAAACTCACAACACAAACGCCATTGAGATCGGCTCCTTTCCATGTCATTTACTGTATCCGACCAGACGTGTTCATCCTCCTTCGGTCCCAAGCGCGACATTCGGGAGACACCAACCGGCATCAAGTTTGAAATGAGGGCTGTCATTCATCGCTTGGCCTGCCCTCCTCTTCTATCCACGCCCCGATCGCGCAAACA